TGATTCAAGCACTAATCCAATACGAAGTCTCCAAACCCCAAGAAAGAAATGAAAGATAAGACAAATATTAAAATCATCCCAAAAGAAGACTATTCATAGCAGACGTAACATGATACATATCAACACTAGCTTGTTTAATATAATTCTGATAACAGTCTGTCCGCCAATCACCATGCTGATTAAGGAGCACCTCCGAAACACCTGCCTTGGCAGCCAGGGTTGCACCTCCATGACGCAAGGAATAAAAACTATACAAACAAAACTAACAACTTATTAAAATGTTTCAGTAAAACATGTTCTGAAATGGGAGAAAGATTTGAACCATTAGGTAAAGCGAAAATAGGATCAAGAGCACTGCCTGTGCTAGGAATCAAGGTAATTAAATGCTTATAGGCTAATACAGGACAAATTAAAGGATTCGAACAATAACATAATGATAATTGATGAGTGAATTCATGACTCTGCCGAGTTTTTGACCAATTAACCGAAATTAATAATCCAACGTCTGTAATTTTAACACAACCGCGAGTTAACTGTTCACGAGATGAAACAGTTAAAGCCGTCATACTCACGAGGTTAGAGGCACGAAACATGCCCACAAAAGGCAATAGTTAAAAAACACCAAAGGCATGAATCCACATAATCATACTTATCTTATAATGAAACAATTTTACACAAATGCTCAGGTAAAATAGGTAATTTAGACATAGGAGTATATGAATTTAAATGTTGAAGTCCTCTCAAGGTTAAAGAGAATTCCATACAATCAAAAATAGTTACATCAAATTTACATAATGCACACCAAGTTTTTAAGCCAGAAATATAATTTTTAAGGGAGGCAAAACTCTTAAGGCTTTTAGACAAAAAACAAGAATATGAGCATAAAACCTCAACAGAACAAGGAAACATTTCAAAATCATAAAACAAGCAAAATAAAATATAAGCCTTAAGTTGAGATTGCAAATTAGACAAAGTTCCGGGTCTAAAGGCAGCATTCCTAGCTACAACAACTTCTTTATGTAAATTAGATCTTCTCAACATTAGGCCTGAAAAGGAATTAAATAACATAACCTTGAAACATATCCCAATTAACATCAAGGCTTTCAAAGGAATGATCATATTTCCCAAATTCAATTTGTAATTTGTTATAATAATCTGCTGATAGCGGCACTCGTGACAACAAATCAGAAAGTCTATTTTCAGAGGACGGAATATACTGAGCACGTATCTGGAGATTATTAATAGCACAAAGATACCAAATCTGCCTAGCCAACCCAAGCATGGTTTCATCTCGACCGGATCCCACATTTAGAATCATGAACACAAGCCTCATTATCACAATATATTTGCAGTCTCTTATTAGCAAAATCAAAAGACCAAAACTGCAAGGCAATATATATCGAATACATTTCAAAAACCCCAATATGATGATTACTTAAATAATCAGGGATAACAACATGATAATATTGATATCTAGTAAAATTAACTCCCCCCCCCCAGTCCCTTTAAACACGCATCTGATGATATTAGGCAATCTGGTTCAGTCCAAATAAGGTCCGGAATTAAAGAGACACCATTAAAATCCTCAAGAAACGTTATCCACCAACGCACATCACGCCTGAACTCCTCTGATAAACGACAACGGTTAAGGCTAGACCTAACACAACGCAATGTACATAACATGCGCGAAATAAACAATCTTCCGCTACGAACACATTCACTTACAAAGGCTAATTTCCCAATAAATTTCTGAACTGCCCGTTTAGAGCAACGCTTGCGGTCTTTAAACGATAAAAGTAGAATGTATGTTTCCTCCAACTTGTCAGCGGGTATTCGAACCGTCATTAAAGCGGTGTTGTACTCCTTCCCGAGTAATGTCATTATAGTTGACGGCGGAACACATTTATTCAAATTGACTCCGAGACCTAAATCGTTAAATAGGCGTAAAATAAAGTCATAGTCCACTAAAGCTAACTCCACCAAAATCATCAACATAATTAACAACATCAATATTGAAGTTGTATGATACCGCATTTGTCACGCGCTGACATGCTTGAGGAGACGACCTCATTCCAAATATAAGACGTAGGTCAAGGTATAAGTTGTTCCTCCAAATATAGCATTGAAGATGTAAATGACGAGGGTCAAGAGCCAATTGCCGAAAGGCTCTAAATAAGTCACACTTCCAAATATGACAGCCATAGTCATGTTTAATAATTAATGAAATAAACTCATCATGACGTGGATAACGTAAGTTCAATTGATCACCTAAAAAAGAGTCACTGGAATGCCAAAATTGACAGACAACTCACTCCCGAACGAACAATCCATAATAACACGACGATCGGACACGCCCTTTGGAACTGTAAAGAAAGGCGACATGGTAACAGGAACACACAGAGGATTGCTATCAAATGGTCCAACCAAGGCGCCCAAGTCCAACTCCTTTCCAATAAAAGTATTAATAAACGGCGCATAATGTGAACACTCATAAGAAGTACGTACAGGAGGGGCAGGTAAACAATCCCGAATATAATTGAGAGGTCATCCATAAGCTAAAAATTCGACCACAATTTTATCATGATAATCTACTAATAAGGCTTGCCATAATGAAATATTAAAATCAGAAACAATAGGGATTGGGCATCCACTAAAATTAGGCTTCTGTGATTTAAAAATAATACTATGAGTCACAGTAAACTCAAAATCACTGGGTAAAGCACCACAAGGTATGTAAGGGTAAGTAAAATTAACAGATTCAGCAGAAGCAACCAACCAAGGCAAGGCTGCATGATTTCCCTCTCTATTAACATCAAAATAATGCAAGTCAACGTCAAATTCACACTCAAGATCCGTCTCACATAAATCATAACACACACCATTTCCGGCGGGAACTATACAAGTCTCACCTACATGTAAGTAGGGGATTACACTAAAACACACACCAGCAACTGGCGGGACAAACACATCTAATAAGTTAGGGGAATTATTAGTATGAGACATCAGTCAAGAAGATCCTGGACAATCTTTAGAAGGATGGCGAACAGTGACGTCACTCGGTTCCAGTCCTCTTCGAATGCACTTTCTGCAGACATGCAAGAACTTTGTATTTCCGGATGAACCAAAATGATCCTCGGACTGGCTGCAATTGCCAGCCTGATATGCGCCACAAATTGGAAATCGTGCCTTCCGATCATGGCCTTTATTATGGGTAGATGATGAACGTATTGGTGAAACCAACGTACGGCCCTGTTCTTCTGCAAAACTGTCTTCCGATGATTTCTGCCCTCTCTCGATTGATCGTAACACCTCTGCATGAAAATCCTTTATCCCTATAAATGGAAACTTCTCCACTAAATATAATAAGTTAATTAAATGTCTCATTCTAGACCTAGAGTTCGTGGAATTTTTTTCCACATTGTGTAATATAAAAATTTCACCTCGTACCAACTGCGTGAAATTAAAATCAAAGTCACTGTAGCCAACCGATTTTGTTTGTCCGTATTCATGTGGCCATGGTACATCAAATTTAACCCGTTCTTTTGCTGCCCTCGCTTCTCCAGAGACCGCCTTTTTGTTGTGAATGTCAGGATTATAAAATAATGTATAATAACTCGATTGTAAATTACCTTCGGTTCGGCTAGGTAAGCATTCACCATTATCGTTATTACACAAGAAATCATCGGCATTAATTCCTACAATATGATCTCTTATTGCAGTAGCCTGATCTACTAGTTCGCTATCCCTTTGTAGATCAGCCAAAGTTGGCACGCTAACACTACGCCTATCGCCTACAGTAGAAGAACGAATTTTAGATTTAGATGGAACACTCTGCTGATGACCCTTCTTTCCACTACCAAGTTGAGATTGTTGTTTCAAAATGGCATTGCGTTTTTCCAACAAATCTTTCTCAATTAACGTATTTTGCACTTTCAATTTTTGGATCGTTCTATCCAATTCCTCTACATCTATGCGTCCTACAGGCGTTGAAGTTAGTCCTTTGGTTTTATTTGGCTCCATCCGCGTAGGACACTCGTCACTTACGAAGCCACCCACAGCACCCGACACTGGCGTTCCGGATCCACCAGCATTCGTAAAACTTGGGGACCCCTCTAACACAAAATCAGCCAAATGTCCTGGCAATCGCCTCTCCCGACCGATGTGTCGTGACATTATTATTAAGCGATGCCTATCAGGAGATTAATAATCACATATCTGGCGGAACCGGAAGTGATAAGTTCGATCAACCAGACCGACAATATCAAAGCCTGAGAACAGTCTGGGTAATGGAGACAGCATAAGATACATGTACGTGCTATGATCATCAATTAAGTGCAATGATGTGACATTCATTACACACAATTAACTAACACAAAATGTATTCAAATCCACTAATTATCGCAGGCCAACGAGAGCACCGAGAGTTGATTATGGTCTGGATACGTTAATTAATAATTTAAATAACATTTCAGGCCTAAAGAAAGACCTGCAATAGGCAGATTTAGCTCTTGCGTGTTTAAGCCGTACGTGGCAGACGTAAAATCGGATATTAGGGATGACATACATTTTGCTAATAATACATTTCACCAAAATCTAAAATGTGTTTTAGACTCCCTTTCGTCTATGTTAATGTTACTAAGGATAGAGCTTTACACTCTTTAACGGGGCACAAATGTAAAAGACGAATACGACTTGCTCAGATGAGCAAACAATAAAATGAAATGAAATGGGTTTAACGTCCTGTTCTGTTCGGATTTGGATAATGAAGACGGAGATGAGCAAACAAAGATGACGGGTCATGATATACATTTAATAAGATATAGTTTTTCTGAATTAAAGATTATATTTCTGAACGGGTATGTGTGCTCTTACTAGAACATGTGATATTACATCTCATTTCAGCAGTACACACATCTAGCAAAGTTGTGTTTTAATTTTGCATCTTCTAATTTTAGTCTCGATTAACCAGAGTGTTAGGACAGTTCCGTTCTATTTTTCAGAAATTAGGGTGGTTTCGGTCGGGAAAACTTGTCGAGGTAAAAGTGCATTAGGAAACAGTTTACTGCGGTCTAAAAACTTTTTTCAGTCATCATCGTCAGGGGGATCGATTACATCCAAGTGTAGCATCGGTCATCTGGATATGCATAATGGCAAGAGGTTGGTTGTAGTTGACACGCCGGGTTTATTCGATACTCGGGTTACCAACACAGAAATATCAAAAGAATTGGTTCGCTGCGTTACTCTTGCATGCCCTGGGCCACACGCCTTCTTGTTTGTTCTGAGTATTGATAGATTTACCAAAGAAGAACTGGATACGGTTGAACATCTACAAAAATTGTTTGGAGAAGATGTAATGAAGTTCGTCATCGTCGTCTTTAACCATAAAGACACGTTAGAGTATGAGGAGAAAACCCTTGAAGAGCACATACAATCATCACCACCAGAGCTACAAAGACTAATCTACAGATGTGGCGGCCGAATGACTACGATTAAAAACCGTATTCTACCTGGATCGAATGAGCGCGATGTAAATGCAATCATACGTTTGGTAGAACAGACCATGCGTTCTAATGGAGGTAAATGCTACACCAAAAAGGCGTTTGAAGCAGTTGATGAGGTTTTCCAAAATAGAGTAGAAGAATTGAAAGCCGAATTGGTCAAACTAGAAAAACGACTAATGGAGTATGAAATTAGAGAGAAGGTTCGAAAGGAGATCGAAGAACAGGGTGGTATTCTAACAAGATTAGCTATAGGGATCTTTCGTTATGGGCGGTGAATTGTATGAAACGCATGTATAACTTCATATTTGTAATAAATAGTGTAGATATTTCATATTTGTAATAAATGATCTGTGAACTTACTACTGATCTGTATGTTTAATTAAACCCTTAGTAAAATACAAGAGTATATAATACAATCCATCAGAATGGGCAATCGAATGTTTAATTGAAACCTGGGTAGCACAATCGACCACGAAAGACAACCTGCATGTTCAGTTAAATCTTACATAACATGTAGTAGCATACTACGATAATCCAATTAAACGTCATTTATATGAAAATTATTGTCAAAGCACGTAGTCTTTAACAAGCTAACATCTCAATTTAATTGCGGTCTTTAAGTGTCTACATCATCTCGTGTGCTGCAATGCGGTAAGACAAATGCAATCAAATGAGGTTTTAAGTCCTACTGTTCTGCTCCGACTGGACTAATGCAGACGTGGCAAGGCAGTGTGTACAGAAATTGAGACTATATGTTTGGTCATAGTTAGGGTGACCCACCATAAATAAATATCTCCATATATCTCGACAATTTCGCAACAATATTTATATATATGCCAAGCCTCAAATCAGTTTCACACAATTATAGTCACTAAATAAACGATCATGTTGTATTTAATAAGCTATGACCATTAATCATCTATAAATAATAGACTGAAAACTGGTTCCATGTGTCGTCCATAACATCCAGACACTTTTGAGTAAAAGATAGGTTACGTGCCCTTGTTTTGAAATTAGTCTCGCTTAACCAGTCTATCGACCATTCTACGTCTGATTGACAGGTCGGGATAATCAAGACTACTTTTTTACGAAACATAACAGAAAGCTAGAACAAGAAATTGAATTTAGAAATGAGCACGTTAGCTAGCTCAACAATTGTTTTAAGAAGCTTGTAAAAGTAAAATGAAACTACTGCTAGTATCATGTTCCTGTCTAACCCGAGTGTTTCAGAGATATTATTTGTACTAAACCAAAAGATGCCGCTCTTAACGGTACAGTTAATGATAAAGCGATTTAAAAAATGAAACGAACGTAATTTCTAAATCTGCTGTAATAACCAAGAAGCTTAATTTTACTGCTATTCAAAATCGTCAACAATAATTTTTTTACGGCTGTAATAGTTGATAGATTTGTAGAGAATTGCACGTGCCATGGCTATTTATAGTATCATACTGTCAGAAAGTTGGCCTCGACACGGCGAATGTACACGCTTTAGTGGTAGTCTCGAACTATCAGCGGTTGACTGTATTTCTGTAGGTGCATGGGTCACCCTATCATAGTTGCTGTTATCAATCATGAGTCGTGTGCTGTAATACAGATATATACAGAAACATCGTTGCATTGTAAAATTATCTCTACATATTTGATTTATCCATCGTGAGTCAAGCAATATAGGGAAATTTGTTTTAACGCCCATTCGAAACAAAGTAGGCCATTTCGGTAGCAGCATATGATATAATTGTATTTCAATGTTTCGCTTGGGTATAAAGGGCTTTAACTGTGGGAAGAAACTCAGGGGACTTGGTCAAAACCCACGAGGTTATGCAATCGAATCTACTCCCTATCACGTACAAGTGTTGGATTAAAAACACGCCACCTGACTCAGTGAAGCCCTTTGGATCTCAAACTCGTAAAACTACTGCCCCTATTTTTCGCGAAACAATACTCTATTTCTTAGAAATGCAGTACCAGTTTAAAGGACAACCCGCTTAACAACAAAACAAGACTAGAACTGCTATGCAGTAATGACGGGTTTCACCGGTGCCACGTTGCCCTTTAACTGACGTCAAATCCCATACCAATGGAGCCGTTAAACAGATTTCCTCACGAACATTGCACCTCCGTTATGAAATGGAAAACTTGTGTAGAATTCGCGTCCAACAGGAATATGAAAACAATGGATCGGGGGATCCGATACGGAAGTGTTCTTCACTAGATAAATATTAAAGTTGATAAATAAAAGAGACACTAACACTGTTTCTCATCGTCAGGAAGAAGAAGATGGTACCTCTTCAAAACGTTAGTGTAACACTATCTGACGATGAAAAACAGTGTTAGTGTCTCTTATGTATCAACTTTATGCAAAGTACGCAGAATTAGCCAGTAAATCCAGCAATATCGGTTCCATTGATACATTTTGTACATGTCATAAAATAAACTGCAGCAAACAAAGACTCGACATGATGACATCACTTCCGTTATCAACAAAATATTTAAATTTGATTACAGAAAAAAAACACTGAAAGAAAAATTGATTAAACATTACTAACGTTTTGAAGAGGTACCATCTTCTTCTTCAAGGCATTTTATTACCTTGAAGAAGAAGATGGTACCTCTTCGAAACGTTGGTGTAACACTATCTGACGATAAAAACAGTGTTAGTGTCTCTTATGTATCAACTTTATGCAAAGTACGCAGAATTAGCCAGTAAATCCAGCAATATCGGTTCCATTGATACATTTTGTACATGTCATAAAATAAACTGCAGCAAACAAAGACTCGACATGATGACATCACTTCCGTTATCAACAAAATATTTAAATTTGATTTTAGAAAAAACCACTGAAAGAAAAATTGATTAAACATTAAGCACAATTAAGTCTTTATAAATCCTCACTAAAAAGTGTGATCCTGACAAAATTGGTTATTTCTCGACAAGAGAAGATGCCAGAAATAATTTTTGATATTTTCTTCCTATGGATGATGGCTACACGTTTATAAAAGTTACTAAGAAATATTTAAAAATTTGAAAAGTCTGAATAGGTTGTAAATAGCTTAATTCTACGCCTTTTTCACCTTTTAACCGAAATGGCCCGAAAATAAAATCGAAATGTAAAAAAACTGATCCCCACATATTTTGCGCCTTTAGTAGGGGGCATTCATCTTGATTTATTAAACTAGTAAAAAAATAATATTTATTTTTGAAAAGACTTTCTGATCCGTCAAAATTGATATTTGGTGCAAAATTACGGCAATATTATTAAAATGACAACTCCAGTGATATTCAAATAAATATGTAAATCATGATTTTGTTATTTTTGTCCCTTTTCAACTGATACACTGGCACTTTTCAACTGACTCACGGTTACTTTTCGTATCGGTGTATACCCTCCCATTTTCATCAAAGAGCCGAGAAAAAGTATGGGTATAAGAGCATATATGCGTGGGTGGACATATCTTTAATGAGTATAATTATGACGTGTAAATGTGATACTATGCAGATGACCATTTACTAAATTTGGATCACCTAGAACGTTGTTAGAATTAGTCACACGCAGATCCCGCTCTTTAGCTACGAGGGATCGCTGAAAAGTTCGAAGCCCAAATCAATCGGGTAGAATCAACTTTTTGCCAGCTACAAGTACAATCATTGAATGAATCATAGACATAAGAACTGCAGCTGTAGTGTTATTATTGCCTTCGTACCAGACGATCTTTCGAACCTGCAAATTGTAATTACCAGAAATGGGTGAAACTGAATATGCCGACATGGTTTCCACTTTAGGGGATGATGCCTTTTCCTTTTCCACAATAAAGAAGATGTGGTATGCGGAATTTAAACGTGGCAGAGAGCGCCTTGAAGACGACCCGCGTCCTGGAAAGCCATCAACAGCAACCAATCAAGAAAATGGCCGCTGATGGTGACCACTAGACATATTGCCAGTGTTGGGGACATCTTTCATGATGTAACCACTAGACATATTGCTAGTGTTGCGAACATCTGTCATTAGAAGGTTGAGCACATTAACGCCAACGAGTTAGGAATGACAAGATTTCAGTATCTGCAAGATGTGTGCCAAAACTCTTGACTGTAGATTAGATACTTGACTGATTCCTGATGTCCTGTGAAAATCTGCGCCGTTTTGAAGCAGAACCTGATAATTTTTTTGGGGGGGACAGGTCAGATATTCACCTGTTTTCAAAAATGAAAAGCAAACTAGCCGGTCGTTAATTTCCTAGAAATGATGACTTCGTGTCAGCTGTGAACGACTTTGTTAAGGTGGGTGAAGAAGCTTTCTTTCTGACTGGCATCCAGGCCTTGCAACATCGTTGGCAAACGAGTGTACATCTGGAATGGGGTCTATGTAGAAAAATAAATGGAAACCATCGACTTTCACAGATAGACTGAGAACTGTTCAGCCATCCCACATAATCGGTCATATATATATATTTTCTTTTATTGAGCAGACGTCTCGGGCCGTCTGATGCAGATTAAAAATAAAAATTAGCTTTTCAGAATAATCCCAAAGATTACGCGTTCTGGTACACTAAATGGCGAGTTATTCTGGTGAAATAATGTATTGTAGGAAATTTTAATATGTTAAATTATTGTATTTAATAATGTTATTAATTCTTACCGCACACAACGAAGACAGTTTTCTATGAGGGAAATTATGTCCGGAAAGCGGCGCCAAGGGCTATTCGTTATATCGAATTCCATCTGTCAGGGGTTCTTTTAAAGTGGATGCCAATGTGAACACGGGGTCTCGGTTTTTCGCGCTCATCCGAACGACCATACGTTGTCCCCTGTCAGCCCTCTGTTCTCTGCAACTTTGACAAGGTGAACTTTTTCGGCCAACACCGGGATTGAACCTGGGACATCAAGGCTACCGAGCCAACGTCTTACTCACTGAACCACCGCGGCTCCAGACATTATATACAAATAGGGCGTACGGGTACTGAGAACAGAATAATGTATTATAAATGGCACTCATACATAAAGAGAGATAATTAATATTCCACAAGAAATTTATTAATATTCAGAAATTAAAAAGGTACATGAAACTCACACATAAAATGACTAAAATATTACAGATGAAAATCCTCTTGAGAATAAGTGACGTTTAAAATGTCTCTAAAAAGTTCAATAATGAAAAGGTTCTGATATTTTGAAGAGATCCTTGGGCACAAGATTAAAAGATTACCAAATGAACAGAAATGTCCAGAAAATCCTGCTCACAAACACGGGTCGGTTAAAGATCTGGGATTTCGGTTTGGAACATAAACCCAGACAGATACGAGTAATACATAGGTGGATTGTGTATTTAACCTAGAAGCCAAATCCTGTGCGTTTTCCATTT